GCTAGTTGGTTGGCAGGTAAACTGCTTCCTGTATGGGATGCTAGTGGGTTGGCAGGTAAACTGCTTCTTGTATAGGAGGCTAGTGGGTTGATGGGTAAACTGCTTCTTGTATAAGATGCTAGTGGGTTGGCGGGTAAACTGCTTCTTGTATAGGATGCTAGTGGATTGGCAAGTAAACTGCTCCTTGTATAGGATAATACTGGTTTGGCAAGTAAACTGCTTCTTGTACAGGATGCTAATGGGTTGGCAGGTAAACTGCTTCTTGTATAGGGTGCTAGTCGGTTGGCAGGTAAACTGCTTCTTGTATAGGGTGCTAGTCGGTTGGCAGGTAAACTGCTTCTTGTATAGGGTGCTAGTGGGTTGGCAGGTAAACTGCTTCTTGTATAGGGTGCTAGTGGGTTGGCAGGTAAACTGCATCTTGTATAGGGTGCTAGTCGGTTGGCAGGTAAACTGCTTCCTGTTCAGGATGCTAGTGGATTGGCAAGTAAACTGCTCCTTGTATAGGATAATACTGGTTCCTGTGTAGGATGCTAGGCGGTTGGCAGGTAAACTGCTTCTTGTATAGGATGCTCGTGGGTTGATTGGTAAACTGCTTCTTGTATAGGATACAACTGGGTCTATTGGATCGGTTTACTCCTTAGCAAAATTGATGGGCGAATTGTTTCTTGTATAGGATGTTAGTGGGGTGATGGGCGAACTGCTCCTTGCATAGGATACTTGTGGTACACCCCCGTTTATATAAAATCGCACTGGTCCTCCTTATTTTGCACTGTGGTGGACTTTATGGACATATCAGTCTTGTATACGTGCCTGAAGACAGAATTGGCACATTTATAATATTAATACAAATACCACTGCTAATAATAATACTAATACTAATAATACTGATAATAAATTCATGATGAAATCATCATTAATTGATGGAAGGCTGCGCCCCTCATGGTCTATTCTCCCAGTGTTTTAATTGTACGATAAACAACCCCCACTCGTCGTTCATTTCTTAATTTAGGCACAGATCCTCGGACGTGTTACAGGCAGTGTGTACTGTGAGTGTTACATGTGTTACAGGCAGTGTGTACTGTGAGTGTTACATGTGTCACTAGCAGTGTGTACTGTGATTTACACATCGAGACTGAAGGTCGTGGAGAGTGCACGAACGTTCAGCTTGTAAAAACCCGTACACCCCGCTACTAACACATGTTTCCAATGAGTCGTTACACCTTCTAACGTTACACAGAAATATTTCGTGGAAACATTTGTGTGTGACAATTAGATCTTTATTGTGACCATCTGATGTTCAGTTGTAAATAACTCCAAGTGTGATGAGTTGTGACAACGTTTACAAGACCGCCTCAGACCAGTCACAAAGACTATTTAACCAATGATGTTAAATAACTATGCGTTTCCTCTATATGATGTCAAGTCTTACGTCGACTTCCCAGTTAAATGTAAAGACTGGCGTATATGAAGAAGTGCTCTGTATTGCGACAAGAAGCATCATCTGAGCACAGCGACATGAACAGGTGCCTCCCTCCTCCTTTCCTTCAGCTTGAGTGTTCTCGCTGCTGGAATGAGAGCAGATCAGTCACACCAATTATGTGGGCACGATCCGAAACATGAACATGATTTATGTCCCAGGCCTGTGTTTTATCTTGCGACTGTAGTTGACCAGACGTGCAGTAAACACAATAAACACGCTAATACAAAGGTGGAGAAACAATCTTTCCAGTTATCGACCAGCAAGGACGGGCAGTTAAAGTTAAGCACCCTCCTCGCTAGACGTGATTACATTAACCTCTACATAGTTAGAAATATTCCCACAGGGCACAATTCATCATTCGCTTTCAAGTTTTTGCTGAAATAGTTGAGATTTCATTCTTGCTTGCGTTTCCAACACCGAAAGAACTGATGAATGTACTGGCTCTGCAACAGAGAAGACGAGCGTCTTATCTCTCATGCTCATTTCTTTGTTGAGATAAAGTCTTGTATTTGCAATTTGTTATTTGAAAATTGGAGGCTGATAAAAAAATTAATTCTGAAGCTGATATCGATTGCGGTTGGTTAGTTCCTTCATGTCAAAACAGTGCATGAGCATGCCCTAGCCAGAGGCCGACACTCCAAGTGGAAAGTAAACACACATCCTCCATATTAACATGTGCCTCCAACATCCTTGTTGAAACCTGATCATTGACATTTTAGTCACCATTCAACTGTTAGGGTTGGACAGGGTACAGTCCAAGTGTCTCATTCTTACCGAAACTCCAATAGTACTTGCTTAAAAAATGAATGTTTCGATAAAAATACCGTTAAGAAAAGGCTCTTTGTGTCCCCATGTTTCCCAAGCGCATCCTGAGGTTGCATAATTTCTGATTAAAAGTGTGTGTATGTATGATGCGTAATCAGCCTTATTCTGAAGTAAGTCACCTGTAAGTTTGAAATATAGGCTACAGCACCAGGAGGTCCGGTCAAGAGCATCAGTTCATTGCAATGCGTCACGACAAGACCTATTATGAGCTCAAACAGTTAAACTAGTTGCTGGTATTGTCGTTGTGTAAATATACTGAACAACAAAAGTTCCTGTGACATTGAATTAGCTTTAATGCAAAGTTATGTTTTTTACCAAATCTGAAACAATTTCTGTTTGCAACAGATAAAAGACTCCTGTAAGTGTTCAAATGGTTTAATTTGCCATACTGACTTCAGAAAATGCGTGATTTCATTTTAAAAACCATGAACATGCCAAAATGTCAATTTACAAATCAATAGCGTGTGTGTCCACCACTGGTTGCGATGCAAGCAACACATCTTCGTCTCAGGGAATGGACGCACAAAGTCCTGTGGGATATCTGTCCATATCTGCTGGAGCATGTTTCGAAGTTCCTGGAGTGTCTGTGGAAGACGTGGTTGACGTCGAAGGCGCCGATCCATCTCATCCCACATGTGTTCGATTGGCCATGGGATGAAAGTCACATTGTTTTCTTGAAGGGAATCCTCAACAAGTCGAGCAATATGAAGCCGGGCGTTGTCATGTTGAAAGGTAATGCCTGGGCCATGACGACGCAAAAGCGGTAGAACAATAGGGCCGATGATCTCGTCGCGGTGAATAAGATTTCGATCTTCCACTATCAAACGGGTCCTCTGTCTTGCTGTAATCCCACCCCATACCATAATGCTGCAGCCCCCGAACCGATCTTCTTCAATGACACAATGATTGACGAAACGTTCACCTCGACGTCGGTACACTCGAATCCGTCCATCGTCCTGAGATGAAAACGAGACTCGTCAGTGAATACGCATGAAGACCTCTGAAACCAGGAAGACCTCACACATACCTATTTACACATTAACCATAACTATTTACACGCATGAAGACGTTACACGTACCTGCAACTATCTACACACATGAAGACGTCACAAATACCTGCAACTGTCTAAACACATGAAGACGTCACGCATACCTGCAACTGTCAACACGCAGGAAGGCGTCACAAATACATGCAACTATCTACACGCATGAAGACCTAACACAAATCTGCAACCAGGAAGACCTCAAACATACCTGCAACTGTCTAAACACATGAAGACCTCACACATACCTGCAACTATCTACACGCAGGAAGACGTCTCACATACCTGCAACTATCTGCACACATGAAGACCTCACACATACCTCCAACTATCTACACGCAGGAAGACCTCACACATATCTGCAACCAGGAAGACCTCACACATACCTGCAACTATCTGCACACATGAAGACGTCACACATACCTGCAACTATCTACACGCATGAAGACGTCACGCATACCTGCAACTATCTACACGCAGGAAGGCGTCACACATACCTGCAACTATCTGCACACATGAAGACGTCACACATACCTCCAACTATCTACACGCAGGAAAACGTCTCACATACCTGCAACTATCTGCACACATGAATACCTCACACATACCTGCAACTATCTACACGCAGGAAGACCTCACACATATCTGCAACCAGGAAGACCTCACACATACCTGCAACTGTCTAAACACATGAAGACGTCTCACATACCTGCAACTATCTGCACACATGAAGACCTCACACATACCTCCAACTATCTACACGCAGGAAGACCTCACACATATCTGCAACCAGGAAGACCTCACACATACCTGCAACTATCTGCACACATGAAGACGTCACGCATACCTGCAACTATCTACACGCAGGAAGGCGTCACACATACCTCCAACTATCTGCACACATATAGACCTCACACATACCTGCAACTATCTACACGCAGGAAGACCTCACACATATCTGCAACCAGGAAGACCTCACACATACCTGCAACTGTCTAAACACATGAAGACCTCTCACATACCTCCAACTATCTACACGCACGAAGACCTCACACATATCTGCAACCAGGAAGACCTCACACATACCTGCAACTGTCTAAACACATGAAGACCTCACACATACCTCCAACTATCTACACGCATGAAGACCTCAAACATATCTGCAACCAGGAAGACCTCACACATTCCTCCAACTGTCTACACGCACGAAGACGTCACATATACCTGCAACTATCTGCACACATGAGGACCTCACACATACCTGCAACTATCTAGAAACATGGAGGCGTTTGTTAGTAGTGAACTTGAAAAGCTAATTTCAACACATTTTGCAATATTTGACTGACAAACCCGCTGGGGTTAGGGGTTATCAAACGAGAAGTAAGTAATTAAATTTAGCATGCGTTTCGTCTTGTATCGATACAGAAGAAACGTATCGTGTATCGTATTGTCACCTGAAAACTCACGATGCACCGATACACCGATGTATCGTTTCACCCCTAATAGTTATTGCGTACTTACTTCCTAAGTATCGTAGAAATCCTATTTGTTTCAAATCGGTGAGTATTAATCACGCTATCATCAAGCAGCCTAAACCTATGTTCGTATTTAGGATTTATTACCATGATTATGACATGTTGTACTTGTTTCAGATCCCCTCGATGTGTGGCGAACATGGGTCCCTGGTTTGTAGTGGTCATCATCTTGATGGCTTGGCTGACGGATGCCTGTGACTTGCCGGATTTTATGCAGACACAAAACAGTACACAAGCGTGGTACTCACATGTCAGACACGACAGGCCTGGGTCAAGAGTGATTGCTGTTCAGGGGGGCACCATCAGTATTAGAGACACTTTGCGTGCAACAGAAGATCATTGGAACTGTACTGTTGCCTTAAAGGACAAGTATGTGGTACAGAAGGACCAAGGGTCCAATCAGATGTTGTTTTCCTGTGTGAAGTTCTACAGGAGAAGCAAGTCAATAGTACAAGTTGCATGGTCACAGTCAGGTAATAAGTTAGACCCCGAACATCTCTGCTCTGAGACGAGTCTGACACCAGACCCCTGGCTACTGGTAGCATTCCATGTTTTGGAGTCCGATTTCTCCCCTTGCTCTGTGTCAGGTGGCTTCAACATGAAGATTGAGGACTCATACGGGAAAAGAAATCCATGCAACTTAATGGACCTGCCCATGCGCCTGGAGAGTGACTGTCTGGCAGGGGAGGGCGTCACGTTCAACTTCCGTTCCCAAAACTGCCTGCCTCTTGTGTCCATGCGCATTGTCCAAGAAACGCTATGTGTGGCCAGCTGGTCCTCCCGAGGCAGCCACTTCTCCGTGCTGAGGAAGCACAACGTCGACAACGTCTGGTGTCTGAGGATTCCCCGAAGGGAGCACCATACCAAGCATGCCATACTGTTCACTGACGCGGCCTGTGTTGAGACAGACGACCATGAAATGGAAACTGTAACGTATCTGAATATATTCTTAGAGCGAGTTGTGTACAACAATCTGTGCGCTGATGAGTACCCTGAATGTGCCGATATGCCTTGTAATAGTTACACTCGCAGACAGTGTATGAAGACATGCCGAGCCTGTGACCCGCGGAGGCCTGCTGCCATATGTTCCTACCCCAGGAATTACCGAGGCTCGTTCACCCTTGTGGATAGAGATGGAACCAAAGCTGTGGAAATCACTGAATCTATGATGACCATACAACATGTCGGCACTTTCCAGTGTATGGTATTTAGTGGCAGCCCATCTGCCTCCAAACATATCTACAGTACTGTGTCAGTTACACAGAATGGTTGTCGGCCCAGGTACAACTGTGTGAAGCTCAAGAAACTCGGCCCCTCTGTGTTAGCGTACAGTCTCAGTCAGAGTCTCGTCTGGCCCATCGTTGACGCCCAGCTAAGCGCATCTGCATGTGACAAGAGAAAGTTTACTGCTGATTTAGACCCAATATCCGACCTTTATAGGTCACATTTTGACACAAAGAAGCCTATAGTTGCGGAGTACCCGCGCCCAGTAAGTGTCGCTTGCAACTTGACATCAGCCTATACCATACAGGCAACATTTCAGGATGGCCACACCTGCCCCGGCAGCATGTATGAAGACTGCAAGGAGCACAGTCGTCTCAGAATGGATTTTACTGAATGCCTCTCAGCACCTTTGATCAATGAGTATAAGTGTATAGCTGTATTTGAAGGGCAATACTGGGAGAAAATTGTGCTTATTCAGAATACCATTGATGAGAGTGATGCTCGTTGCATTGTGTTCAACCACCTGAAGAAACTAGAGGCTCTAATCATGAGGGCGGGAGAGTGTGATAAACTTAGCTGGAGATTTGCTAAAAATGATGTCAGGAAAGCCTTAGTGACGCTTCAGATCAGGCAAGATATGTTTCCGTGTAAGAACTTACCAAGTGTAGATAGGACTACGTCAGCCCGTAAAGGCCAATTATCCAATGACAATGTCTCCACTCTCGTCACAGTTGACCCCACCCCAGGCCCTCCAACCCCCTCCCGTCCACGATCCGATGACAGTTACCAACATGTAGACAGTGTACACTCCGCTGCCAACTCAATGTACGTTGTCAGCAGCTGCGTGATTATGGTGTCCATTGTCTACTCAGGTCTTTAGTTGTTAAAATGCATCAACACATTATTTTTCCGGTGCGATACTTTATGTCTGACAGGTAAGAGGTTTTATCAAGCAGCAGTTTCTGTTCCCTGTAACACACCATGGTGTTTCTGTTCCCTGTAACACACAATGGTGTTTCTGTTCCTTGTAATACACCATGGTGTTTCTGTTCCCTGTAACACACAATGGTGTTTCTGTATCCTGTAACACACAATGGTGTTTCTGTTCCCTGTAATACACCATGGTGTTTCTGTTCCCTGTAACACACAATGGTGTTTCTGTTCCCTGAAACACAACATGGTGTTTCTGTATCCTGTAATACACCATGGTGTTTCTGTATCCTGTAACACACAATGGTGTTTCTGTTCCCTGTAATACACCATGGTGTTTCTGTTCCCTGTAATACATCATGGTGTTTCTGTATCCTGTAACACACAATGGCGTTTCTGTATCCTGTAACACACAATGGTGTTTCTGTTCCCTGTAATACACCATGGTGTTTCTGTTCCCTGTAATACACCATGGTGTTTCTGTATCCTGTAACACACCATGGTGTTTCTGTTCTCTGTAATACACCATGGTGTTTCTGTTCCCTGTAATACACCATGGTGTTTCTATTCTCTGTAACACACCATGGTGTTTCTATTCTCTGTAACACACCATGGTGTTTCTGTTCCCTGTAACACACCATGGTGTTTCTATTCTCTGTAATACACCAAGGTGTTTCTATTCCCTGTAATACACCATGGTGTTTCTATTCCCTGTAATACACCAAGGTGTTTCTATTCTCTGTAACACACCAAGGTGTTTCTGTTCCCTGTAACACACCATGGTGTTTCTGTTCCCTGTAACACACCATGGTGTTTCTGTTCCCTGTAACACACAATGGTGTTTCTGTTCCTTGTAAAACACCATGGTGTTTCTGTTCCCTGTAACACACCATGGTGTTTCTCTATCCTGTAATACACCATGGTGTTTCTATTCCCTGTAATACACCATGGTGTTTCTATTCCCTGTAATACACCATGGTGTTTCTGTTCCCTGTAATACACCATGGTGTTTCTATTCTCTGTAATACACCATGGTGTTTCTATTCCCTGTAATACAACATGGTGTTTCTATTCTCTGTAATACACCATGGTGTTTCTATTCCCTGATATACACCATGGTGTTTCTATTCCCTGTAATACACCATGGTGTTTCTATTCTCTGTAACACACCATGGTGTTTCTGTTCCCTGTAATACACCATGGTGTTTCTGTTCCCTGTAACACACCATGGTGTTTCTGTTCCCTGTAATACACCATGGTGTTTCTGTTCTCTGTAATACACCATGGTGTTTCTGTTACCTGTAATACACCATGGTGTTTCTGTTACCTGTGATACACCATGGTGTTTCTTTTCCCTGTAACACACCATGGTGTTTCTGTTCCTTGTAATACACCATGGTGTTTCTGTTCCCTGTAATACACCATGGTGTTTCTATTCTCTGTAATACACCATGGTGTTTCTATTCCCTGTAATACACCATGGTGTTTCTCTTCCCTGTAATACACCATGGTGTTTCTGTTCCCTGTAATACACCATGGTGTATCTATTCTCTGTAACACACCATGGTGATTCTATTCCCTGTAATACACCATGGTGTTTCTATATTACCTGTAATACACCATGGTGTTTCTATTCCCTGTAATACACCATGGTGTTTCTGTTCCCTGTAACACACCATGGTGTTTCTGTTCCCTGTAACACACCATGGTGTTTCTGTTCCCTGTAACACACCATGGTGTTTCTGTTCCCTGTAACACACCATGGTGTTTCTATTTCCTGTAATACACCATTGCGGTTCTATTCCCTGTAATACACCATGGTATTTCTGTTCTCTGTAATACACCAAGGTGTTTCTATTCTCTGTAATACACCATGGTGTTTCTATTCTCTGTAATACACCATGGTGTTTCTGTTCCCTGTAATACACCATGGTGTTTCTGTTCCCTGTAATACACCATGGTGTTTCTATTCTCTGTAATACACCATGGTGTTTCTATTCCCTGTAATACACCATGGTGTTTCTCTTCCCTGTAATACACCATGGTGTTTCTGTTCTCTGTAATACACCATGGTGTATCTATTCTCTGTAACACACCATGGTGTTTCTATTCCCTGTTATACACCATGGTGTTTCTATATTCCCTGTAATACACCATGGTGTTTCTATTCCCTGTAATACACCATGGTGTTTCTGTTCCCTGTAACACACCATGGTGTTTCTGTTCCCTGTAATACACCATGGTGTTTCTATTCCCTGTAATACACCATGGTGTTTCTATTCCCTGTTATACACCATGGTGTTTCTATATTCCCTGTAATACACCATGGTGTTTCTATTCCCTGTAATACACCATGGTGTTTCTGTTCCCTGTAACACACCATGGTGTTTCTGTTCCCTGTAATACACCATGGTGTTTCTATTCCCTGTAATACATCATGGTGTTTCTATTCCCTGTAATACACCATGGTGTTTCTATTCTCTGTAACACACCAAGGTGTTTCTATTCCCTATAATACACCATGGTGTTTCTATTCCCTGTAATACACCACGGTGTTTCTATTCCCTGTAATACACCATGGTGTTTCTATTCCCTGTAATACACCATGGTATTTCTTTTCCCTGTAATACACCATGGTGTTTCTGTTCTCTGTAATACACCAAGGTGTTTCTATTCTCTGTAATACACCATGGTGTTTCTGTTCCCTGTAATACACCATGGTGTTTCTATTCTCTGTAATACACCATGGTGTTTCTATTCCCTGTAACACACCATGGTGTTTCTCTTCCCTGTGATACACCATGGTGTTTCTGTTCCCTGTAATACACCATGGTGTATCTATTCTCTGTAACACACCATGGTGTTTCTATTCCCTGTAATACACCATGGTGTTTCTATATTCCCTGTAATACACCATGGTGTTTCTATTCCCTGTAATACACCATGGTGTTTCTGTTCCCTGTAACACACCATGGTGTTTCTGTTCCCTGTAATACACCATGGTGTTTCTATTCCCTGTAATACATCATGGTGTTTCTATTTCCTGTAATACACCATTGCGGTTCTATTCCCTGTAATACATCAATGTGTTTCTATTCCCTGTAATACACCATTGCGGTTCTATACCCTGCAATACACCATTGCGTTTCTATTCCCTGTAATACACAATGGTGTTTCTATTCTCTGTAACACACCAAGGTGCCACTGACTGTCTGATCTAGACATACTCCGGATTCCACAATGTCATACGCAGCCCAGTCATTACTGTCCTTGTAGAGAATGCTTACGTTTGAATAACCAGCTCAACGTGTTACACAATATTCACATTACGATCAGGTGAAGTAAAAGAAAACACAGTACCTGTCTTCATAAGGACGAATATAGCGTATTACTACCCGTAGGTGATTGATAGACGGATGTTGTCCAGACTGGGTAGCTTTCTTTCGCTACATTCCTGTTAGTTCACCCGATTGAGTGCAAAGTGAACGTTTGTCATGGCGCGTTGTACATGGCGCGTTGTACACCGTCTTTAACGTTACATTTCCGATATCAAGGCCTATGGAGCTGAATCTCCGCATACATTATCCCAGCTGTGGCGTTTCCAAAGATGTTCACAGAATATCAATCCCACTTGAAACATTGTCGCCATTATTTCGTTATAAGTCAGGTGGGCTAAAGAGACGTGCCACTCTTGTAAACACCACGTTGTACCTGTCCACACCCTCAATGGTGTATACACGAGTGTAACTAGTTTATTATATAAATTTAGTAAGTAGGATTAAACACACAAACATACAGAGGAAAGTTGTTATAATTTTCTATGGAAACATCTGATGTAATTGGCAGTCACAGCTGCGCATTTCATAACACCCTATGCTGACTGTATGTCATGTTGTCATTGGCGATCCCAGTCTGTGACGCCTGGTGACATGTTGCTGTAAACATGAACAATCTGGCCAACTCGGGCTGTTACTGTACTTGTCCAGAAGACATGGCAGTTTTTTCTTGTACATAGTTTTCTCAATCCTTCCTACTGGAGTGGTATTTTTGGACGCATGGATGCTAATTACTGAACTTACTGCGGGTTCATGATGTAAGTAACAATTAGTTCAATTACATTTTCTTCATTTGTGTCAGTATTGTTATTTTTGTGAAATGACCCAAGCGAGAACGCTTGATGTGGAATATGAAACGGGCTTATGCTATCATCACTAGCATTATCATTATCATCATCCAGTCAAATTGTATTTATCTATAAATTCCACAACAGTGACAGAAGAACTCACCATTAGGTTGGACATATACACTACAAGAAATGATCTGACATGGCATATGGAGTGATGCCATATGTGACGTACACTTATATACATTAAAGCTAGTCCATGATTAAAGTAATCATCAGACAGAACCCTCCATGATTAAAGTAATCAACAGGACAGAACCCTCCATGGTTAAAGTAATCAACGGGACAGAACCCTCCATGATTAAAGTAATCAACGGGACAGAACCCTCCATGATTAAAGTAATCAACGGGACAGAACCCTCCATGATTAAAGTAATCAACAGATAGAACCCTCCATGATTAATGTAATCAACAGGACAGAACCCTCCATGATTAAAGTAATCAACGGGACAGAACCCTCCATGATTAATGTAATCAACAGGACAGAACCCTCCATGATTAAAGTAATCAACAGGACAGAACCCTCCATGATTAAAGTAATCAACGGGACAGAACCCTCCATGATTAAAGTAATCAACAGGACAGAACCCTCCATGATTAAAGTAATCAACAGGACAGAACCCTCCATGATTAAAGTAATCAACAGGACAGAACCCTCCATGATTAAAGTAATCAACAGGACAGAACCCTCCATGATTAAAGTAATCAACAGGACAGAACCCTCCATGATTAAAGTAATCAACAGGACAGAACCCTCCATGATTAAAGTAATCAACAGGACAGAACCCTCCATGATTAAAGTAATCAACGGGACAGAACCCTCCATGATTAAAGTAATCAACGGGACAGAACCCTCCATGATTTTTTGTAATCAACGAGACAGAACCCTCCATGATTAAAGTAATCATCAGACAGAACCCTCCATGATTAAAGTAATCAACGAGACAGAACCCTCCATGATTAAAGTAATCAACGAGACAGAACCCTCCATGATTAAAGTAATCAACGAGACAGAACCCTCCATGATTAAAGTAATCAACGAGACAGAACCCTCCATGATTAAAGTAATCAACGGGACAGAACCCTCCATGATTAAAGTAATCAACGGGACAGAACCCTCCATGATTTTTTGTAATCAACGAGACAGAACCCTCCATGATTAAAGTAATCATCAGACAGAACCCTCCATGATTAAAGTAATCAACGGGACAGAACCCTCCATGATTAAAGTAATCAACGAGACAGAACCCTCCATGATTAAAGTAATCAACGGGACAGAACCCTCCATGATTAAAGTAATCAACGGGACAGAACCCTCCATGATTTTTTGTAATCAACGAGACAGAACCCTCCATGATTAAAGTAATCATCAGACAGAACCCTCCATGATTAAAGTAATCAACGGGACAGAACCCTCCATGATTAAAGTAATCATCAGACAGAACCCTCCATGATTAAAGTAATCAACGAGACAGAACCCTCCATGATTAAAGTAATCATCAGACAGAACCCTCCATGATTAAAGTAATCAACAGATAGAACCCTCCATGATTAAAGTAATCAACAGGACAGAACCCTCCATGATTAATGTTATCATCAGAACGTGCGTTGTAAAAACAAATTATGTCTTCGGCGTTAATCCCTTGTTAATCACGTGTAACACCAACTACATCATGTTGCATGTCGCTGTGGCGAGAATGCACGAGTACCTTCAAATGTTGCCCAGGCGAGAAGACACCGGTTGAACACCGAATCGTCGTTCCAGACCGATAGTTTACACGCCAAGAAAATTATTTCAACCAGAGCTGAGTCGGTTGGGACAAACAAAGGATTACTCATTCTTTGCTAAGTCTTTATTTAACCTCTCGCTGGGGCATAGCAGAGAAGCGTGTTGAGTGGATGAGTGAATACATGATATATATCGCTCTCTGTCTTCAGTACAACATAGATGGCATGTGTTAAAACAAACACTCCGGAAGTACAATGCAGTTATTATGGTGTTGTAATAGATAATTGTGATGTACATAAGAGGCATGGCGTGTTTGTTTTGGGTGTTTATAGGAATAACTCATTCCTCTTGCAGTGCCTCGTCAGAGTTCAACCAACGTGATCGGCGGTCATGACGAGGACGAACATATCTCCCTATCATGTCCCAGACGTGTTCAAGGGGCTCTGAACGATATGGGTTCATTGATGGCCATAGCATGCTATGGATGTTGTGTTGCTGGATGTGAGCTTTGACGATTCGTGCACGGAGAGCGGGCGTTGTCGTCACAAAACGTCGAAACACATTCCTTGCAAACGGAACAACAAAGAGTGTCAATATTTAGTATTGTACAGTCACTATTCCTTGCACAATATTTATATTTCATGATCCCCTACTTATTTTAGAGTATATTTTAAAACGGTTTCATTGTAAAACAATGGCAAAGTATTGGCCCTGTTGTTGGTCCTCGACAGTGGAAGGTAGGCGATATAATTCAAGGTTGAAACTGGAAGGTAGGCGATATAATTCAAGGCTGAAACTGGAAAGTAGGCGATATAATTCAAGGTTGAACCTGGAAGGTAGGCGATATCATTCAAGGCTGAAACTGGAAAGTAGGCGATGTCTTGAAGGTAGAAACTGGAAAGTAGGCGATGTCTTGAAATTGGAAACTGGAAGGTAGGCGATGTCTTGAAGGTAGAAACTGGAAGGTAGGCGATGTCATGAAATTAGAAACTGGAAGGTAGGCGATGTCTTGAAGGTAGAAACTGAAAGGTAGGCGATGTCTTGAAGGTAGAAACTGGAAGGTAGGCGATGTCTTGAAGTAGAAACTGAAAGGTAGGCGATGTCTTGAAGGTGGAAACTGGAAGGTAGGCAATGTCTTGAAGGTAGAAACTGAAAGGTAGGCGATGTCTTGAAGGTAGAAACTGGAAGGTAGGCGATGTCTTGAATGTAAAAACTGGAAGGTAGGCGATGTCTTGAAATTGGAAACTGGAAGGTAAGCGATGTCTTGAAGGTAGAAACTGAAAGTAGGTGATGTATTGAAGGTAGAAACTGGAAGGTAGGCGATGTCTTGATGGTGGAAACTGGAAGGTAGGCGATGTCTCGAAGGTAGAAACTGGAAGGTAGGCGATGTCTTGAAGGTAGAAACTGGAAGGTAGGCGATGTCTTAGATTGTAAAAACTGGAAGGTAGGCGATGTCTTGAATGTAAAAACTGGAAGGTAGGCGATATAATTCAAGGCTGAAACTGGAAGGTAGGCGATATAATTCAAGGCTGAAACTGGAAAATAGGCGATATAATTCAAGGTTGAGACTGGAAAGAAGGTAGAAACTGAAAGTAGGTGATGTCTTGAAGGTAGAAACTGGAAGGTAGGCGATGTCTTGATGGTGGAAACTGGAAGGTAGGCGATGTCTCGAAGGTAGAAACTGGAAGGTAGGCGATGTCTTGAAGGTAGAAACTGAAAGGTAGGCGATGTCTTGAAGGTAGAAACTGGAAGGTAGGCGATGTCTTAGATTGTAAAAACTGGAAGGTAGGCGATATAATTCAAGGCTAAAACTGGAAGGTAGGCGATATAATTCAAGGTTGAGACTGGAAAGAAGGTAGAAACTGAAAGCAGGTGATGTCTTGAAGGTAGAAACTGGAAGGTAGGCGATGTCTTGAAGGTAGAAACTGGCATAAAGGCGATGTCTTGAAGGTAGAAACTGGAAGGTAGGCGATGTCTTGAAGGTAGAAACTGGAAGATAGGCGATGTCTTGAAGGTAGAAACTGGAAGGTTGTGGCTATGTCTTGAAGGTAGAAACTGGAAGGTAGGCGATATAATTCAAGGTTGAAACGGGAAGTTAGCCGATGTCTTGAAGGTAGAAACTGGAAGGTAGGCGATGTCTTGAAGGTAGAAACTGGTAGTATTGTTTTCACGGCCACCCTTGTAATCTCCAACTACTTGTATAAAACAAATTTAACATGATGCCAGAGACTATGATCCTAATTATATCTGCATCTGCATAGGAATGTGTTTAAATCCTAATCGGAATACACACGTTTAGGGTCCAAACATTTGAAAGTAGCTCAGGCTAAACGCAACCTAAACACGACATCCCCATTATATAAACATGTTTAAGAAGACGTGCATATCACTGTGTATTAACCTAATAATCTTATCATGTTTAGAATTTAAACATAGTTTATATTTAATAAAATGTATATCTTTGGGCGTTAAGTCGAATATGGATAAGATGTATTATATAGATATTTAAATTATATGGCAGTCAGCTTCACAGGCACTTGCATAACACAGGTTCCACCGGTAATTAGCACGAACGTGGTACACTATTTACATAAACATGTACAAATAAACCAAGCTTAGTTAATGGTGACTAGAACAATTGAAACTTGAAACGTCAACAATCCCCGTAGCACAGGTGGTAGCGTAAATGACTACACATCAAGAGGTTGCAGGTTCGTATGCAGCCGAGGTTCTAAACATGTTATGTATTAATGTGTTGTTGCTGTAAGACTAATACTTAACGCAAGAACGGAAGTTGACAATGAAAGTATGTCGGACTACTACTACTACTACTGCTACTACTACTACTACTACTACTACTACTACTACTACTACAGGTGAAACACAACACTAAACACGTTTAGATCCTAAAAAACCCGCATGAAACTAATGGGACAATGAACGCGCTTAGTTTTGTGTTTGGGATCTAAACACATTTTTTACAAAGTAGTGCACGTTCCATTCCAACAGCCAGATGCCTCCCCGGCAGTTGTTGAGAGGGAATTATGGTGAGGCATATGTGAAGGCTGTAAAACAACTTTCTGGAGGGACTGCAAGATGAGAGAAAATTGAAAATCAATAGAGAAGTCCGAGTATGTTGGACGGCTAACAAAGGCATCAATGAGCCACTGCCTGGATTAGCCAACATCTTGCTGACCTCATTAGGAGTTAGTCTGACAA